GATGCGTCCTTTCTATGTCTCTGCAGTTTTTACTTTGCAGAGACACAAGACACACAGCCAAGGGGACCTACTGGACCCTTAGTAGCCTGGAAGCTGCATGTGTGTCGCTCCTGCTGCTGCTGCTGCATTTGATTTGATTTGATGAAAACACTGGCTTAGTTATCATCAGCTTTTGCTGATGTCATTTAGTCACATTAGTTAGAAAGTTCTGTTTGAAAAATCTGATTGTGCATAAGCTGGAAATAGTAAATATGTTCATTGTCAAAACTAATTGTATGATTATTTCTCAAACAGAACCCCGAATTTTTTTCAGCGTCCTACTCTTCTTCTATGGTATTATTGCTGCTTTACGTTATTGTTTCTATAAATGCTGAATGTTTGTAGCCATGCTGATAAGAGCCAAAAATGACTGTAAACAGGACACAAGAGATTCTGTTTAGATTGCACATGGTGCAGCCTGCCTGCCTGTCAGTCTCTGTGATGGCAGTTGGTGATATCAGTTACCAATAATAATCTTGGTATGAGAAAGAACACAGAAAGATGAAGATGACAGAACAAAAGAAGTAAACAGTATATGTGAGGATAATAGCTGGAACATAAGGAAATAGCTTAGATAAAGTTGGCGCAGGAGCAGGAAAATAATACTTCTTACACCTCCGAAGACAGATCTTAATCTGTCGCCTTCATTCATCCACTGTTTCTTAACCTCTCCATCACTGTTGGCTTTTGATCTCCTTGCTCTCTCTTGCTGACTCACTCTCCCTATCCTTCTCCCCACAACAAAGAGACAAAAATTGACATGCACTTCAGTCTCTAACTTTCTCACTAACTAGCCCCCCCTCCTTTTTTCTTCTCCTTTCCATCCTCTCCCCTTCTGTTTTTGCCTCTTCCCTCTCCTTAACATGCTTGAGGAATGTGTCAAAGAAGAACAAAAGAACAAAAGCTTGACAGGAGGAGGAGGAGGTGGAGAAGGTCGAAAAGGAGAAGAAAGGGGGGAGAAAGTAGCATGAGGTAAAGGAGAGACAGAAAGGAAAAGAGGAATGGAGGGAAGGAATGGGGGGCAAGAGAGAGGCTGAGAGGAGCAGGGCACGGTTGAGTGGATCTGAATGTTGAGCTTTGCATTGTCATCACGTGCTGACATGCAGCATCACACACACACACATTTCAGAGCTCTT